AGTACTTTCAAAGAGTCCCTTTAAAATAGTGCCTGCGTTTGAAATCAGACTCTAAAATAAGTATCTATATTCCTGTTGAGAGTTTACCATAACTAGCCTTAAAGCTCCAGATTAATTAAGATAAATGGCATCTTTAAAGACAAAGTAAGCAAGAAAGACTTTTGTGGAAACAGGAAATAATAGCAAACAATATTTAGAGCTTTACCCAGTGGCCAAAATTTAAAAGAAAAAAGAGAAAAAAAAAAAAAAAAAAAAAAAAGGCTGTCAAAGAAAGTAACTCTTAAGTATGTTGCTGGGCCCAAGATTGGTGACATAATTACGGACAAGCTACTAAGGTTACTTCATCCTTGTTGATGGTACTGTTGACTAATGCTGGCATTTAGGGTGCTGAGCCAGTGACCCCTGGGTGAGATGTTAGATGAGACCTTGGCTGGCAGCCTCTGGTAGACAGGGTTCCTGGTACATAGTCCATATGGGATTAGCACTGTCTAATGACAGGTTAATATTTGGAGGATAAAGATGGGAACACTGTCCAGTGTGAGCTAAGAGGAATTTGAATTTCTGAAAGAATCCATGGGGGCTTCAAGGTGCCAGAGAAGTGGTAAGTGAGGGGAGCCCCTTTTTCAGAACCAAAATGTGTGCTTCCCCCTACTCTATCTTTCCCTTCCAGTGAAACCTCCCAAATGTCTCTGGTTGGTGGCAGGAGGCACACACAAGGCGAGAGGCGGCACCCCCAAGCTGCTGCCACACATCCTCTTCCTTAGCCTCTTCCAAAGAATTCTTCAAGTGCAAGTGGTGATTTCCCACTCTTTCCTGTTTGCAGAGGATTTTTAATCTGGCCTTTTGGCCCCTGTGCAGTTGATAAACTGCCCCCACATCCTCCTCCCTTTATCTATAGCTCCATATAAATCTGTTGCACTGTTAAGGCTGATCTGTTTCACAAGCACCTTTGTGTTAATCATCAAAAGAAAGGCTTTGAAACCTGTGACCATGAAGCTCCTGGGCTGGCTGCTTCCGCCAGCTTACATAACTGTCTCACCATGAAAGCACAAGTATGACTAGCCATGGAATACATGAGACACGGGCATGTCCAGAGAGGAGCCCATTACACCAACCAACCCCGAGGTTCTATTCACTACAGCAGGGCTCTTTATCCTTTCAAGGCCATGCACATGGATGGTGAGTGCCAGTGGATGGGTTTCAGTGACGGTAAGAAGGCACACAATTGGTAGGTAGAGAGCAAGCTGAAATTACTGAATTAACTCCGTTCCCAAAGGAACTTTCCTTAGAAGAGCACATCTTCAGGGTCAGAGCGCCAGCATACAAGTTTTCCTCTTTCTGGTAGGATACTGTTGACTGGAATTGCCTGAGTTTTCTTTATCAGCAAAGGGATGAAAGCACACTGTAGACAAGAGCATTTCTGGACTTAGGCAGAGGTGGAAATGAGGGAACTTCCTCCCCAGTCTGTCTGTTGTAAAATGACTGATAGATATTTTGAAGAGAGTTGAAAAATCTCCTGGGTATCCCCTAGAAGACACTGATCAGAGCAGAACTCTGCAGATGGGTCAGCATTCTCACTAGTGTCCACACCCAGCATTGCAGGTGAGCTCCATCTCCCACATAGGGAGGGCGATCAGTGATGCTCTGGATGCCTAGATGTTCTCTGGCTTTACCTATGAGCCAGCATTGACCATAAGGCTCAGGAAATCGCTGTTGTTGAAATACCCACAGTGCACACCTATTTCTTAGATCTCCAGTATTCCTTATATCCATACACAAGCAAATATTTGATTAAAGGAAAGAAAGCTAATGTTTCTTTTAGATAAGACTGAACCAGAAACCAGGCTTGGTGGCAGTGTGCTTGTAATCCCAGTCCTCAGGATGCCGAAGCAGGAGGACTGCTGGGAGTTTTAGGCCAGGTGGACTATATAGAGAATTCCAGCCCAGCCTGGATGAGATCTTGTCTCAAAAACAGAGAGAGAGAGAGCGAGAGAGAGAGAGAAATGGGTTGAAATTCAGTCTACAGTTTGCCTCTTCTAGACAGCCTTCCCTCACTTCCTGTGCTGAAAGAGGTGCCTTGCTGTGGAGGGCCTGGGAGCATGGTCTTTACCTAAGGTGACACATACCACGGGTGTAATTTCATTTGTGTTATCTCCCTCCCTGGCCAAGACCCCAGCAGAAAATCCCAAGAACAGATACTGCCTGTTGTGTAGGGGGTGGCCAGTCAGTAGTTGCTGTCAGGAAGACAGGCCCTATAAAAATTGGCTTCTTTGGAGGAGTGAGGTGGAGGGGGTGTAGTAAGCAGTTTGAATTCACTTGCTGAGTGCTTTGTTTACCCCATCAGGAAGGTGGGTTCCACCACAGCCCTGCACTGACTCAGGGCTTCCTGTCCCAGTTCACCTTATCTTGATGAAGAAAGCAATTTGTTTCCCATCTTTTATATGAGCAGAGGCAGTTGAAGCACATCCAGTCGTTGTGTGTGGGTGGTGGTTTTCTGATTACAATCCATTAAGCTGTGATTTCTAAAGCTCTTTCATTTGTGACATGAGCCAAACCCATACCAGTTTCCTCTGGCAGACAGCAGCCTGCCGCTCTTCTGAAAATGAGGCTTTCCCAAGTTGTGTTATTCTAAGCAGAAGCGGAGCAAAAATGTCTATTGAGCAACACAGACTACTGCAGTTGGCACCCACAGGGAGGGCTTTTCACCAAAAGAAAGACAAGAAAGGTTCCGAATTTCAGCTGCCATTTTAACCATTTCAAGTTTAGTTCCCCAGCTGAATGTGTTCTTTGCACTCATTTCTGGAGCTCTGCCCCTTCCTACCCCATCTCCTGAACCTTCCTGCCTCCCCAACCCACACGGTGTCTGTTGCCACTGAGAGTTCTCCTTGACAAGACACTCCTTGCTCTTGTAGGCCCCAAGTACACACTTGTGGCTGTCATCACCACACCGTACTCAGTACTTAGTTCTTACCCTGTGGATCTAAGGCAGCTCCGGAGCTGGGCATGGGCTGCACCAAATGTGCTGCTCAGGAGCTTTAATGTCACCCTGCACCTGAGACTTTCACAGCCCCCCCCTTTGCCACCTGACAGTCCAAAGTCAGCCATGTTTTCCCATCAAAGCATGGAGAAATCTGTGTCCCTGGTTGTTTCTGTTGCACCTGGGTGATCCAACTTCCCTTGGTGATTTCTAATTCCCCAAGAGGACTCCTTGCTTAGGTAAGTGTCCTCTGTTTGTCACTGAAACAGGTACCAGGTTCTCATCTTAATAAACTCAAAAGTACCTCTGCGGTTGCTTCTCTAACAAGCCTGCTCAGCACCTTGGGAGCCCCTAATGTGGGGGCATTACCACTAGTTGCAGCAACAACTTTCAAAAAGAAGTTGCCATGCAATGGTGCTACAATATCAGTATTAATTCCTGTTATCTTCCCCTGTCCTCTAAATGCAGTAAGACAATACACACACACACACACACCAAGGTGATGTTGAAACCTCAGATTGTACCAAGCCTTTCCATCCATATTAGTAGATCTGATAACAGATTAATCACTAAGCGTAGACAGTGTGAATACAGCAGACAAAATGATGATTGGCATCCTAGGTGGGATAGCGCAGATCATGGAGATGCCGTTACACGACTCAGAATATTGCACAATGCAAAACTTAGATTGTGTACTTCTGGAATCTTCCATTTAATGCTTTCAGACTGCCGTTGACCAGAGGTAACTGAAACCTTGGATAAATAACTGTTCTAAATTTTCTCAATTGTAAGGTGATGGTAATGACATGCAGACTGGGTTGTTGTGTTATCATGAATACAGTCCATCTGTACAGTGCCTGGGTCTGGCAGCCACAAAACATTCTGATTGGCATATCAAATAAGCACCTCAGATCTAAGAATTAGCCTCTTCTTGTCTCTGCCATGAACATACTTGAGGGTGTCTGACACGCTGCTGTCTTCCTAACCCCCTGCCTCCTCACAATCCCCCTGCAGTCTGTTCTCCTCACTGTACTATGGACCAACCCTGATTCTTATCCCATTTCCAGATGCCTCAGGATCCCCCTCTTGCTTCTCTGCCTCCCTCACTTCAGCCTCTGTGCTGTCTCAGAAACATGCCAGATAGTAACAAGACACTTCGTGCTCTTGTCAGCCTCATCGGCTTCTTCTTAGCTGCTGACAGAGATCCCAGGATCTGCTGGTGTTCTGAATCCAGTCAGTGGGGTCATGGCCTGAATCTCCTTCAGAAAGCCCTTCCTCTTGAGCAGTCTCTCTTGTCACCTGTGTTGTACTGGCCTGTTTTGAACCCCTAGTTAGCACAGTCTGTTCTGGTGTCTCCTGCTTAACATCATTGTGCTGGGCTCGGAGTTTGCCAGGTACCTGGAAGCCTGGGTAAAGAAGGTAAAGAAGGTATACAGACAGAAGCCAGAGCCTCAGCACCAAAGGTGCACTCAGTTCTGCATCAGGGTGAGCAGAGAGCTCTATCTGCCCTTCAGGGAAGTCACTGTCACCTGGGACAGGAGGTCAGAGTACCTGAGTGGCCTCCAAGTGGCTGCACTGCCCCCATGCCCAAGTCCTAGCCCCGGGGATGTAGCAGGAGCTCCAGTTCTTAAGACTCCCACCTGGAGGCAGGCCTGGACCCAGTACTGAATTCCCTCAAAGCTCTCCCCTGTGCATAGGAACCACCAACACTAACCCACTAACTCCTGAAGCACGACAGCCCTCTCAAGAGACAGGGTCCTGCTCAGCGCCTGCTTCCCTGCCAACATGGGCAGCTCCCAGGTGAGGCAGAAGAATATCTCAGAGCCCTGCTCCCTGGCTCACCTGGCAGGCTGAGTGAGGCAGCCAGGAGAGCAAAGAAGGGCAGAGAATATGAGTTGCTGGTCAAATCTGGTAAAAGGCCTCCCAGGTTCAGCCAGACTTTGGGAGCCATGAGAAGCTTCCTTTGGAAATCTCTGCTAAAACCTGACTCCTGTTTCTTTTTCTCCCTTGTGCCTCTGTGCAGGAGCACTTCTTCTGGGAGGGATCCTGTACTCCTGGCAGTTCCCCCATTTCAACGCCCTGAGCTGGGGCCTCCGTGAAGACTACTCTCGAGGAGGCTACTGCATGATGTCTGTCACCCACCCGGGCCTGTGCCGGCGCGTGGCACTGCGCCACTGCCTGGCCCTGATCGCCCTGTCCACTGCTGCTCCTGTCCTGGACGTCACCACGTGGACCTTCCCCATCATCTCCCTCCCCATCAACCTATACATTTCCTACCTCGGCTTCCGCTTCTATGTGGATGCGGACCGCAGGAGCTCCAGGAAACTGTTCTTCTGCAGCCTGTGGCACCTGCCGCTGCTCCTGCTGCTCCTGCTCACCTGCAAGCGGAGGCCAGATCCAAAGGGCAACCAGGGCGAGGCTCCGAGCTGAGAGCTAGCTGGTCTGTGGGGAACTCGAGAGCAGAATGCCTGCAGAGACACACAGCTCTGTCTGTGCCAGTAGGAAGGGCATGTTGGTATTCTAGAGTGCGAGAGGAGAAATCGATGGTATCAATACCTGACGGTAAATCATTCGGTGCTCAATCATTGCTTAACAGTTTTTTAATAATCCCCAAACTGCCTCCCAAATAAATGGGTTGGCTTAGTCAGTTAATATAAAGATAGAGTATTTCTGTTTGAAGGACTTTATGCATCTTTCCCTTCAGCCCCACGTGCTATGTGTTTGCTCATATGATACACATGTTCATCTTCTTTACCCCTACACACACACACACACACACACACACACACACCACACATACACACCACCTGAAGCCCCACTTCAGGCCATTGCGCTAGGCAGGTCAGGACTTGTAACCCACCTCTGTAGTTCTGCATCCTGAGGCCCCCTGCAGGCTGCCTCAGAAGGGCACATGCTAAGGCCATAATACCCCTTCACTGCCAATGAGATAGGGCCCCAGCCAGCTTTCTCCGCCCCACACATATCCCCTGCTACATAGCCCCTAAAGTAACAGAACACCCTGAGATGGGCCACTACACATCGGGAGTGAGGATTCTAGACTGCCACCTGGAGAGTCCCAGGCTACACTGCCAGCCCCTATCCTCATCACCCTCACACCCATTCTGTATCAGGATTTCAGAAACTCCAGGGAATAAAAGGCATCTTTATAGCCCACTTTAAAATACAGGCACCGTCTGAAGCATTTCTTTATGGAAGGGTAGCACTCAGTGTAATTTCTGACCCCATGAAAGTATCTCTTCAGTCCTGCTATGGATGTCCGCTCCTCTGTACTGAGAGCCTTTTCAGAACTGTATGAAAGACAAAGTGAGCCAGGCAAGTAGCACACATCCCTCCCATTCTTGTTCCTTTTGTGCAAATACCTTTTCCATCCTGGTACCTCCTGAGTCCAGAATCACCTCCATGTATATGGTGGCAATGGGTGCAGTTCTAAGTCTTTAGTCTACAGAGACCCGCTACCTTAAGGCCTTGGAACTCGGAAGGGTGTTTTAATTCTGCCATCTCCCAGGATACTGTGCCCTGTTGGGATTCACTCAAAGGGTTTAAGCAACAGGAAAACGGTTCTTTTGTTTAGGCCTGTTCTCTCAAAAAACGTAAAAGGCTTGGGGTGTGACCCAGCGGCAGAGCACTTCCGGGTTCAAGTTTGATCTCAAGCACTATGCCCCCTCCCCCAAACACACACAGTGTGTAAAGTAACTGCAGATGGCACCGATAGATACCTCTTTCTGCATATCTGGAATGTTACCTCTAGGCCAAGTCCTGGTTATTTACTGCAGAAATGGGGATGGGAATGTCTGTAAAGAGTGTCTGCAACTTTTTTTGCAACCTTTAAATTTGTAAAGTGTGTTGATTCTCATGCCACAATAAAAGTGAGAAGAACAGGATCCTGTATGTCAGGATATTACTCAGCACAGTCCAACACTGACCTCCACTCTGCATGCCAGAGGAAGGCTGCATGGTACGTGGGTAATTCCCTCTTTCTTTTTGTTAACTGTAAATAAGCAAATTATACTCATAGGTATTTATAGAGCACAGAGTGATAACGATTTGTGGATCCAACATGGAATAACTCAGTTTTGGAAATTAACACAGCCAGCATCTCAGGCACCATTTTTATGATGTGAACATCTGAAATTTAGTGATTTTGAAGTGTACAATGTGTTAGTGTTTACTGCTTTTTTTTCCTCTCTTTTGGTTTTGTTGTAGTTTTGAGGCAGGGTCTCATATAGCCCAGGAATGACCTTGAACTCCTGATCTCCTATGTCTACCTCCCAAGTTCTGGGATTACAGGTATGCACCTCCACACCAGCTTGATTGTGTAGAGTCCACACAGAAGTGAGATCCCCTTCCATTGGCCTTTCCCTGCCTGGATTACCTCACTTCCTCCCCATTTCCATCTATACCGTTATAGATGTCAGAAATTCGACATTTTTATGTGACTATTCTGTTGTATGTGTTGGCCATGTTTTCTTTATCTGTTGGTTACTACTGCTGTCACAAAGACCAACCTCTTAACTGCTTGATCCTCAGACTGTAGTGCTGTTGGGAGGTGATGATAGAGCTGCAGACATAGAGCATAGAATGAGGTCTTCTGGTGTTTGGAGCCCTTGAAGGGGTAGTGGGACTCCAGCTCCATCTGCCACTTACTCATGATTTGCTGCCCTGCCACAGGCCCAAAAGCAGTGGCCCAACCAGCTACGGCCTGACACCTCCAGAACTATAAGCCAAAATAAACCTTTCCTCCGCATGTTGATTGTCTCAGTTACATTTGTTACAGTTACAGAAACCCAACTAACATAATTTCAAGCCTACCATATTTTCAAAATTTCTCTCCCAACTGTCTTCAAACCATCACCAAGAAATCTTCCCTGAGGCTTCTTTGGCCTCAGAACCTACGTAAAGCTGGATGCATCTATAATCCCAGCACTCCTATGATAGATGGGAAGTTGAGGTAGGAAATTACCCACCAATCTGAAGACCAGCTATCCTGGCATATGCAGCAGTAAATGATAAGAGACCCTGTCTCAAACAAGGCGGAAGGTAAGGACCAACGTCTGAGGTTGTCCTCTGACTGCCACACATACACCATGGCACAAGTGTACCCTCACACATATACACACACATCATATGCACAGGATTTTTTTTTTTTTAATTGACCAAAAGATCCTTAAAAGACTTCAACTGGGGAGGAGGAACTCTGAGGGTCACTTTTTCTTTTCAAACATAAAATTGGGATCTATCACTCAGTAGAAATATCTTTTAAATTCTACTTTATTTCTAATTATGTGTGTATTTGTATGTGAGTATGTGCATATGTGAATGCAGGTGCCTGCAGAAGCCAGAAGAGGGTGTTAGATCCCCTGGAGCTGGAGTTACAGTGGTTGTGAGCCACCTATAGCGGGTGCTCGGAACCGAACCTGGGTCCTCTGCAGGAGGACACGCTTACTCACTGAGCCATCTCTCCAGCTCCAGGAATGCCTTCTTTATAGCACTTTACATCGGTGTTAGGAACCCCAGGCACTGATACCAGAGGCAAAACCAAGATTGGGAAGCCGTGCTGTGCTGTGCTTGCTGTGAGCCTGTGTGGGGCTGTGCATCCCACCCGTAGGTTGGTTTTCTCTTCTGTGGTCCACTGCCCATCAGTCTTCATCTCTTACTGGTTTTGCTAAGAGACAGTTGGGGCTCTGCATTTCTATGCCCAGTGGAATGCTGGGAACAGAGCAAAGCTTTTCTGCTTGCTGGCCCTCATGATGGACACTTGCTCCTCTGAGCTCTTCTGGACCTGGAGTGTCAGTCCTCTGAAACCCTCCTTTCCTTGCCCTTTGTTCCCCTCCCTTCCGTTCCCCAACACACCGAATGACAAGACAGCCTTGCAGACAGAGCCCCAAGGGGAGACAGGTGTTTGGAAAATGGCTGTGGGCCTTCCCATGGCAGAGGACAGACACTTCTCTGACCTGAGTGGATGCTGGCCTAGTTCTTTGAGGCAGCTAGTAATCACTCAGGAAGGTCTGCCTCCATCAGTGGGACATTTCCTCCCATCTGTCTGCTACAACCAGCCAAGCAACTAGACACAACACTGGCAGAGAATTAGTGGGGCCCAGCTAGCCACTCAGACATCTGGTATGCTGCTTTGGCCTTTTCCTATCAGTCATCAAGTCTTTTAAATACAGTTATCTCTACTAAACTGCCTCCTAGAGGGGCATCAAGGGAGAGCAATATGCCTGCTTCTTAGAAACCCAAATCTAAGTAGCCTGTGCTGGGCAGATTACACTTCTCAGCATCTTGTGGCCGCTGTTTGCTAACCAAATGTAAGAAGTGAAAACACATTCTGCGTCAAAGAGCCTGAAACACTCGTCTCATAAGTCAGGTTCAGTCTCTAGCTAGACTCCTCTGGTACACTGCAGACAAGGCATCTCACAACCTGAGCTTAAGTTCTGAGTCACTGGCCTGAGACACAGCTCAGTCTGGTACCCATCACTGAGGCCTTTGATGCCAAATCTGAGCAATGCCCACCCCACCCCTCACCAACTTAGTGTAACCACCTCTCTCTCCTGAGACATACCTGCAAGCCTCCTAATACATGTTCCTTTTGCATGCTCGCCCTTGCCCAGGCTTTTTCATACAGCAGCCAGCATAAGTCTGAGACCCCAGGTCACTAAGCCTCTGTGCTGTACCTTGCAAGTATTTCTATTCGTAGAATAGAATGCAGAGAACTGACCATGGCCACCAGGGCCCCACAGGATCCGGCCCTGCTCCCATGTCCATCCCAGAATACCCTTCTGCCACACCTGCCAGCCTGCTCTCAGAGCTCCTCTTCCTGGGCCTTCCCACCTCCTTTGCCTCCATCTCCTCTCCTGGGCACCCTCCTAATTCCAGTGAAATGACACCGTTTTAGAGAGGATTTCATTGGCCCTTTTATTAAACAACATCCCAGCCCCAGCCCAGCTCCAACACTTCTCTACTGTATGTTTTCTCCTTCCTAACATTCATCACCAATGGGCACTGTTCAAGTATTTCATCACCTCTTTATTATCCTCTTTCCTCTAAAGTCCAAACTCAACAAACCAAGGATTTTTACCTTTACATCACTCCACCTCCAGCATCTACAACAGTACTTGGCATGCAGTAGGCTAATAGATTTCCCCACCTCCACCGCATACTGTCTGACACTTCCTAGGTAAGCACTGAACTATATCCCTAACCCATTTCTGGTTTTTATTTTGAGACAGCATCCCATTAAGCTGCCCAGGTTGGCCTTGACTTCTCTCCGCAGCCAAAGTGACCCAGCACTTGCTATTGCTACCTTCCCTGTCCCTGTACTCCTGAATGTTAGGATTACAGGCCTGTGCTACCAGGCCCGACCCTCCAACTAGATTTGAGCTCCCTCATCTCCAGCATATGTGAGAGAGCTACATCATGCATTAAGTGAACAAAGCCTTCCAGTTCACCAAGTGAGAAGCAGCCGGGTTAGAAGCCAAGAGACTGGGGACCCCAGGAACAGAGATGGTCAAGGCTGGTGCCCCCCCCCCATTCACTGGAAGGTTCAAGGGTCTTGGGAAAAGCTAGTCTCTAGACCAGACAGCACCCAGGGGGTGCTGCAGGAGGACTTGAGAAAGGAGGAGGCCACACAAAGTGTATGGTTGAGTAGCCTCTCCTCATCCTAGCCCAGGGAGGCAAGGGGCCTGAAATAGACAATCTAGAGAAGATCTGCAAGGCAAACACAGGGCCCTCGCCCTTCTCAGTACCAACAAACAAACAAAAAGAGAGGAGCCCAGGGCAAACAAAGGAACACCCAGAGAGGGTGGGGAGGTAAGTACCAGCCATTCATTCTTATCCTGAGCCAGTCAGTGGTTATCCAAGATTCCCTGCCAGGAGATGAGACAGGAGGCAGCTGGATTCCAGCATTTGCTCTCAGGAGGAGCACAGCCTTGTGGAGCCAGAAAGTAGGAGGAGTAGTCTTCCCCCTCCTTGGACCATGTTCTTCACTTTCAGACCACTCTGCCTGAGGTGGCATTACCTCTGCTCAGCCTCACCCTGATCCTGGTTCTGTCTCTTGTGACCTTTTATCTTTGCCTCTGGGCTCATATATGTCACACTGCTATAAGCACTTACTCTCTGTTAAAGGATGTGAGTCAAACTCAGAATTCAGGCTCTCTGTTCTTTATGGGATAGTCCAGTTTCTTAACAACTCCAGTGCCGTCTGTTAATTGAAAAGAACTCAGCCTAGGCAAATGATTGATCATGGGGCTGAACACTGGAGTTGGGGAAGGGAGGGGAGTGTCGGGGTGTGAGCAAAGATCAGGGAAGGAGCATCAAGAGCCCAGAAGCATGAATAGCTCCATGTGGCTGGGGTTTGAGAGCCAGACAGAGATCAGGGATGAGATTCAAGAGAGGAGCAGAGGGACCTATCGGGCAAACATCTTAGCTGCCATAGACTTTACCAAGGCAATAGAGAGCCATGAAAGAGTCAATCAGGAAATTGGTATAATCAAGTTTGTGCTATAGAAAGAAAACTCAGGCCACAATGTGGAAGGTGGACCTGATGATTTGGGGAAAGAAGATGAGCAACAGGAAGCTTGCATCTGGGCAGACAAGGTGGTGGCGGAGGAGGAAAATCCTCAGATCTGACTGCAGCCTTTGGTTGGAAAAAGAACTTGGTCATTCCCAGAGTCCCAGTTCTAGAGACAAGGTGGTACCTTTCAACTGTGCAGGAAGTCCCTCCTCCCTCTAACCATTTCTGATGTCCTTCCTCTTGCCTGTAATCACAGGTGCCCTCTGTGGCTGGTCTGTGAAGATACAAGCTGCCCCACACCCTCAGGCACACATACCATTCATTACCTTTCCCAACACACAGACCTCTGGCAACCCCAGCTTCCTAGGAGGAGCCAGATTCTCTATTGATTGGGCACAGTGTTATGAAAAATCAGTTTTCTGAAGGCCAGACTCTGCCTGCCTTCTGGCTGGTCTTCCACTGGAAGCATCCTGGGAGAGGAGCTCCTCTTTATCCTGCCCCCCTCCCCGCCATCTACCTGAGTCCCAAGCTGAACCCCTGCCTGCCCCCCCGCCCCCAGGTATTTCAGTCAGAGCATGCATCTGAATGCATTTTCCAAACTGGAAGGAGGGTAAAGTTGCCTTAAACCCACCCAACCTGAGGACTGGAGAGATGGCTCCAGCAGTTAAGAATATTTGCTGTGCCCTTGCAGGGGACCCAGGTTCAACTCCCAGCTCCCACATGGTAGCTAACAACTGTCCATAACTCCAGTTCCAGGGGATCTGACACCCTCTGCAGGGCATTGCTTTAAGACAAAACACACACATAAAATAAAAATAATAATAATAAGCCCTCCCAACCCGAATGGACAGTTCTCTCAAAGAACTGCAAGTAGCCAACAGGTGCACAGGAAATGTTCTATGACCTTGGCAGGCAGGGAAATGCAGACTAAAACTACAGAGAGCCCACCATACCCCAGCAAGAACAGCTATTACCCAAACACAGGTACTGGCTGGGTGAGGGGAAGCAACCTGCTTCTCAGTCAGTGAGATGTGGGATGTGGATTACCACCACCGTGGAAGTCAGCGTGAGACCCTCAAAACCTCAAAATAGAGGCCAAAAGTAGAGGTGTGGCTGCTAGGAACTGGGAAGGATGCTGGGGATGAGGGAGCAGGTGGTTAAGGCAGACTGTATGGAACTGTCATAATACATCCCATTAACTTTTACAAGTGTTGCTAATAATTTTAAAAA